CTTTGCAGGTTTGATGGCTTGAGGGGTGGGGGCAACTCACCACTGCCAGGTAACTCCCTAAAGGGTGGGAGTGGATCATTTTCTAGGTACCTCCCAGTGGTGGGGAAGGGCATCACTACCCTCCCCCTTCCATCCTCCCTTCCCCCATCCCATTTAGTGCTGCCATAGGGCAGAAGCACATGAACAAACCACACAGTCTCTGACTTCTAAGCACTTTGAGCTGTTGAATGGGGCTCAGGGGCAAGAGTTGTCGCTGCCCTCCCCAGCTTGGTCACAGGGTTTTTGAACTGCCTGCACTCCTTTTCCATGGAATTCCAGCATTCTCCCCAGAATTTGAGCTAGAGATAGCAGCAGGGTATGGATGTCCCAAATCTTAGAGTCTGAAGCAGCTTTCCTGGGCTTCTGTCTGGAAGGTAGTGGTTTGTTTGCTGGGGCCTGATAATCTATCTCCAGTGGTGGGATGGGAGCAAGTTAACTGTTGTCATGTCAAAAGTGGGGACTCTTTGCTTAGACTGTCCATCATGGAAGGATTGGAATTCTCTATACAGGGTCTTGGGGAAAAGGATTATAGAGTCTGACAAGACCCTGATCAGAGAGATTAGGATTGCATTTTGACATGGGATTTGGAGTCCTTCTAAATGTTGATGTTCCCTGAGACAGATCAGCTCTCCAGCTGCTGAGCCTGTACCAGGGGCTGAGCAGCCCCTAGAGAGAGGCTCTGCTCCCTTTCCCACCTCCCCAATGTTGGTGTTGCTGCCTTTTTGATTTGTATTCTCTGTTATTGACTTTTTTTTAAAAGAGTTCTTCTTTCATTGTGCACAAGTGCTGAAAGCCTGAGGCCCCATTTCTGCTGTGTATATATCCTGACTCGGGGCTTTTATTCAGCAAACTGTTCATTCTTCTGTCAGACAATGTCATATTCAACTCTGTTCATATTAAACCACTGTGAAGCAAGCCTCTGTTTTCCTGCTTAAGTTGTAAATATAGTATTTTTTAGTGTCTAGGATATTCTTGGTATTGTGCAGAAATCATATAACATGGTCAGTGTCCTGAGGTGATAAGTTAAGTTTTACATTTAAGTTTAAAAAAAAACAAAACAGAATCCTAGCTGCCTGTAGCGATATTTACCTATACTTGGAACTTTCAATTGACTTTGTCACAGAGGTAATGCATCTGCTTGCAGGAAGTAGCCATAGGGCTTAATACCTGTGGTTTGGGTCAGATTTAGCAGATTTGGTTTTTAAGCTTGTGGGTTTCTGCTAATTTGGGCAGAATATATTTATAGTGTGTGTGTGTATATACATATATATGCATATGCTCTATGTGTACATAAACACGTGTGTGCATGCGCTCATCCTCCAACATACCATCTGTGAACACTATATCTTTCATAGGTTTTTTTTTATACCTCAATTGAGACTATTTTCTTTTTTTAAGATTTTTTATTTATTTATTTGAGAGAGAGAGAGAGCAGAGCGAGCAAGAGAGAGCACGAGTTGGGGGAAGGGGCTGAGGGACAGGGAGAAGCAGACTCTCCACTGAGCAGGGAGCCCTATGTGGGGCTCCATCCCAGGACCCTGGGATCATGACCTGAGCCAAAGGCAGATGCTTAACCTCCTGAGCCACCCAGGCACCCCGAGAGTATTTTCTTTCAAATAGATGGGATACAGGCAGAAAGGTAAATGAACTCTGAGAACTTTTTTTTTTCTTAACTCTGAGAACTTTTGATGGGTGGATATTTTCATCTGACCGATGTGTTCTGAAATGGCTTCCTACACAAAGTGGGTTTTAGTAAAAGTTTGGAATAAGAGGAGCTAGGAGTCTTGTTATTTGGGAAATCAAAGCTTGTTTTAATCATGTAGTTGAGCATGGAAAGAAGGTATAGAAAGTAATGTGGTCAAAACATGAATTAAGGTGACAACAATGTACTTGGGTGTGAGTAGAAGAGTGGGGGCTGAATCGAAGTTAAGAGGTTTTGGTAGTTCAGGAATTAGATGACTAAAGATATCTGAGGGGATAGGGAAGAATAGAAGTTTCTGTGAGATAAGAGAAAGGAAGAGTAAGGAGACAAATGCAACCTTCGTAGGCAGCAGCGTTAGAGAATGAATTAGAGAATAACTAGAAAAAGCAGCTGTAGAATAAAATTTCAAAATTTTGGACACATGACATTCATTTAACAAGTACCGGTTCTTAGCCTTCTGTGTGCCCAGCCTTATACTAAAAGCTGGACTGGGGTGGGGTGGGGTGGTCGTGGTATAAATAAAACATTACATTCTCTTTCTTCATAGACTTTATACTTATTCCTTATTGTAGGAGATGTCTAAATAAGACAAAATGCTACAGACAAAATTAGAGGTCCAGGCACATCTAGTTGTCCAGTTTTTTTTTTTCTGTTTAATATCAGGTCAGGTAAATTCCCTCTTTGGAGTCAAGTGGGTCATGTTAGCACAGTAACTGGGTCCCGAAAGAACCCCAAATCCAAGCCCTCTTACCCATCAACACTGAGGAGAAGCATTTTTTTTATAAGGAATTCAAGGTTATGTATACATCTAAGTATTTATTACTAATTAATCCCTTTTACCCATAGCACAGAAGCAGCTCAACCTTACACTGGGATCTGGGGGACAGAGGCTAACGAAAAATTTTAAATGTAGTAGCTAGACGCCAACGAAGTCTAAAGCTTCACATTCTGGAGATGCCTTATCTACCCTTTAACCCATTCTTTGAGATGAGGAGTTGAGCTAGTAAAGGGTGGGAGAGGTGAACAGCATTCAGCCTTCTCTGGAGTTCTTCTTTAGTGAGACATCCTAGGTGAGACACTTCTATCTTCAAATACATACTGTCATAATTTAAGTAAAATTACTTTCTACTGTGGAAATGTAGACCAACTGTTCACTGAAATGGATATTTCTTCATATCCTGAGGACTTTTGAGTCACCCCTGGTCTTCTCTTCTTAGGCACAATAACAGTTCTAATTTTTCCTCACTTGGCTCATTTTTTTTTTTTTTTTTACCCTTTTACCTTTATTATTCTGAAATCTCTCCAAGGTCCTTACATGTCCCTAAGTCATAGAGTCTAAAACTGGACACCACTTTAATTATAGCCTGCAGGTTAGGTGGTTGTTAGTCCATTTATACATCGCAGTATTCAAGTTTACTTTTAAAATATAAACACTTTGTGACTAATTTAGCTTGTGGTTCTCTGCCACTCCCTTCCCGACCACCCAACACCCTTCATTCCTCTTATCTTTTCCTTTGCTTGCCCCCCAAAATAATTGTTCCCTATTTTACTTTTATTTTCTCTCTCCCTCCTGCCTGCCTATCTATCTGTCCATCCATCCTCTTGAGAACAGAAAACTCATTCTTTACAGAACAAATTGGGATAGTTATTAACATTACACAGAATAAAGTATTCTTTAAATTACAGCAGGTTTTCTTTAAATAGGTGTTTCCTGCAGTGGTTTTAAATGTATATAGATCATCAAATACATGATATAGAGAAACTGAAGGTAAAGGATTAAGAGGCACTGCCAGTTGAAGAGCAGTCAGAAATTAGGTAAAACAGTAGTTCTTTTTTTTTTTTAATTTTATTTCATTTATTTGAGAGAGAGAGCATGAGCTGGAGGGAGGGGTAGAGGAGAAGGAGAAGCAGACTCCCTGATGAGCAAGGACCATCCCCCCCCAGCCCAATGCTGGGCTCCATCCCAGGACCCGGGGATCATGACCTGAGCCAAACGTGGACGCTTAACTGACTGATCCACCCAGGCACCCCAAAACAGTAGTTCTTAAGTGAATAGTAAAATATAGTTACAGTCACAGAAATTTATACATTACTTTTCAAGAAAATGTTATTTTACCAATAATGTTTTTTGTCCAAATACAGCCAACTTTTGATCATCTGTGCTAATAGATTTTTCTTTTGCTATGCATTTTTATTCTAAAATTTAAATATAGGGGAGTCTAATATTCATAAGACTTTAAAATATTTCCTAACATGTCATCAGAATGAAGACTCAGGAAGATCTGAGAAGTAGAAAGGAGTAGCAGGCCTGGAATAGAAACCTGGATTCCAGAGCTGGCTATGCTATTTAGCTGGTTATAGCACCTACAGGCAAATTGCTTCACCCATCTGGGCCTGTTTTCTCAACTGTAAAATGAGGGGATTTGACTGAATGATATCTGAGGTATCTTAAATCTCTAATTCTTATGATTTCCAACCCTTGCCCTAGGGAATTGAGTAAACCCTGGAGGTGATGCTACCAAAAAGGTGAAAGCAAAGTTTTTTCCATTGGATGGAGTTTGCCATTTTGTAGTTTTCTCTCCCAGAAATGAACGACTCTTCACTTATTCTGATTAGATTTTGTTTGCCCACATCCTATTGTATCAAGTCATGAGTACCACACTAAAGCTCAGTGTTGAATTGATTTACAGTGTCCTAATTTTATCCTAGGTCTTCTAGCTGAAATTTTTGAATGAAATAGTTACCTCATTCCTATCTGGAATTATTCTTATTTAAAATGTAGAAATGATAGTTTTGCTGATTGTTCCTATTACAAAAGTGCCTATTTTGCTAAAATGTTTTATTGTGATGATAAAAGTTCAAAAAGTAATTAATGCTAGTTGACAAAATTCAAACAAAACATAAATGTGTAAAAAGAGAAAGATTTCTCTTTATTCCCTCTCCCTATGCCCATTCCCCAAGAATAATTTAATTTGGTGTCTTCCCAGACCTTTTCCTATGCATAGATATGTGTATGTGAATATATATACATATAATGTATGTATGAATATACACATTCATTTACACATGTACACATATGAATACCCACACACTCATATGTAGGGTTTTTTTTTTAACAAAATGGGATATTATGTGCACTATTTTGCAACTTAATTTTTACACTTTGCAATGTATTGTGGACTTCCTTTCACATTAGTATATGGAAATTTACCTCACTTTTAAAAATGGAGGCATGACATTTCATGGTATGGTTGTAAAACAATTTATTGATTCCAGTTTGTCTCCAATCCTTCACTATTACAAATAATGCTACACATAACTTGCTCATGTGTTTAAGTATTTCTGTAGGATAGATTTTGAGAGAAGGAATTGCTGGATCAAAGGATATGTATTACATTTTGATAGGTACTACTAAGTTACCCTCTTAAAGTGTGCAGTTTAGGCTCCCACATACAGCAAATGAAAATGTCTGTTTTCTTACCAAAAGTGGAAAAACTGCCATCCCTGCCCTGCAAGTTTCTTTGCCCAAAATGGCACAATATTAAACAACAGATAATTATCCAAAGTATTTGGTGAAAATGGTATTTCTTAGTTTTAATTAGCATTAGTATTTAATGATACCTTTAGCTGTAATGATGCCGCTATCAGGTTTTTTAAAATTTCCCCGCACATTTCGTTTTAGTCATTCTAGAAGTAGTATTTATTGCTGCTAATTGAGCATCCCTAACACTCCTCACTGTAGATAAACCAACGCTTAATTAAAGGCCCTGATGTTCCTAGGCTTCTTCCCACCTGACTCTGGGGGGAAGTCAAACAGCATGGTGGCAAAGCAACATTATCTGAGGCGCTCTCTCGACCAATACTTTTCTCGTGTGGTCACTACTCAAGGCCAACCCCAGAGTAGCCCTGACACCTCAACTACAAAATCATCTGACCTCAGAGCCAACCAAACTCTGGGAAAGAGTATTTTGCCTCTTGAGCCACCATCTCTCCAGCGTGGACCTCCTTCCTGGTTATTTCTCTCAGATCAAAACCTTAGACTCCAGCCAGGGACGGGGCAAGGACAGGGACCTAGATCGAGATGGTGACTGCACTAGGAGGCCGAATCGCCAGGCGTCGGCTCTTCTGGTTGGCTGTCCAACACGTCAGTCAGAAGCGAGCAAGCTTTTAGTTGGTCCTATGCAATGGGAAACGCAAAACCCTCCTCTGATTGGCCTCTTAATCGAGGGGCAGGCCATAGGGAGAGCTGCTGGTTGGGCTGGAATGGAAGACCAATGGGAACGCTGTGGCGCTGCTTTCGAAAGCGAAGCCTGCCCAACGGCACCTGGAAGAGTCAGCCGATTGTCTCGGAGCTCCTGTGGCTTATTTGGTAACTGCGTCCTCCCGCTACGTAGCTGCCGGCTACCCTCCGCTTCCTGTCGCTCGGTCACTCTTTCGGTGTCTCAGTGTCATCGGGTGTGCCGCGGCGATTCAGGCTGTAGTCACCTTAGCCTGCCCAGAGCTCTTCCTCGGATGTGGCCGCTGAGGTCCTAGGGCCGGGGGAGTGGGGATCGGGGGCCGGGAATAGGGTAAGAGTTGGCGGGCATCAGGGCGAGATAAATTATGGCGGAAGCGGGCAAGGCTGACCTCTGCGGCCGTGAAGGCCTTTGTATTAAATCCCAGGGAGGAAGTGGGAGGTGTCTGACCCAGAAAGTTGTGCCATCCAGGTGGCCATCACCATTTCAGCCAACCATACCCTCCATCGCCCGATTTCATCTCTCATGGCGCCTTCCTAGACTCCACAGCTGCAGAACCGCTGCAGCAAATACACTGGGTCCTCTCAGCCTGGACTCAAAGCGAGTCCCCTCCCTTCCTCAATGTCTGGGCTTGACCTTGTTGCTTTATTCTTTTTTTCCTCATTATTTTTAATTGCACTAGTACAGTGTCCTTGTAAAAAACAAACAAACAGTCCCTCAAAACTTTACACATAGATGGGGCTGAAGTATACTTTGGCCATTACTCACAATCCTAGTCCACCTTTCCCTTTTGAAAGGTAGCTGCTCTTTACAGTTTGCCTGTGTATCCTGGTAGCTTTCCAGGTCTTAGTTGTTTGTTTGTTTAGAAAACACGTCGTGTTGTGTTTTTATTTCTACAAAAACTATACCATACTGTGCATATCCTGCAAATTTTTTATTAAATATTTTGGAAACATTTTTATTTCACTACATCTAAATTTACTTCATTTGTAAGTGGCATAATATGCCATAGTATGGCTATAAACTGGCTTATTTAGCCATTCCTTATTGACCGACTACTACATTTTTCCAGTTTTTTGCTTTTATAAGCATTACTGCTATGAATTTTCCTGATCACAACTCCTTATCAGAGTTTCTCTAGGGCAGTGGTTCTCAAACTTTTTGATCTCAGGACCCCTTTACACTCCTAAGACAATTTGTTTATGTAGGTTTATATCTACCACTATTCAATGTATTAGAAATTTTTAAAAATTTAACTATTCATTAAAAATAACAGCAGTAAACCCATTACATGTTAACATAAATAATATTTTAAAATGAAAAAGAACTTTTCCAAAGCAAAAAATATTAGTGAGAACAGTAAAATTGCATTACATTTTCTGAAAGTCTCTTTAATAGGCTTAATAGGAGACCTCTGGGTTCTCATACCTGCTTCTGAATTTGATCTATTACAATGTTTTGGATGAAGTATATGTCACACAGATGTGTAATTAGAAAAACAAGGAGTAGTTTAATAGCCTTTTCAGGTAATTGTAGATATTTTTTATATCAGTCCTCAACAAGTGGTGGTTTCTTTTTTTTTTTTTTAAAGATTTTATTTATTTATTCATAAGAGACCGAGAGAGGCAGGCTCCCTGCTGAGCAGGGAGCCCGATGCGGGACTCGATCCCAGGACCCTGGGATCATGAACCCTGGGATCATGACCTGAGCCAAAGGCAGATGCTTAACCATCTGAGCCACCCAGGCACTCAACAAGTGGTAGTTTCTTAAAGATTACTTTTAATGTGAATTTAGAAACCATATTAATCATATAAGTAAACTTTTCTTGCTTTGTTACATTTAAAATCCATTGGTCTGCCTGTACTTTAACATGTTTTGTTTTGTTTTTTTTTTACCTGTGCAGGATTTTATAACATAATGCACTGGCAATTTGGAAAATATTGGTTCACTGAGTTACGCAGATCTTTCAAATGTTGACACAGTTCATCATACGGTGTCAAAAATTACATTAGTATCGGGCGCCTGGGTGGCTCAGTTGGTTAAGTGACTGCCTTTGGCTCAGGTCATGATCCTGGAGTCCCGGGATCGAGTCCCGCATTGGGCTCCCCGCTCAGCGGGGAGTCTGCTTCTCCCTCTGACCCTCCTCATACTCTCTCTCTCTCATTCTCTCTCTCTTTCAAATAAATAAATAAAATCTTAAAAAAATTACATTAGTATCACCACTGCTCTTATCAGAAAAGTCTTATAGTATTGGACAGCTGCCAAGCCTGTGGTGGAGGTGCAAGTTTTCCAAAGTTCGAATTTTTGCTTGAAAGCTCAAATTTTACCATTAGCACCAGATACTATCAGTTGTTCTTGAAGTGACAGGCTAATTTTATTTCTGAGAAAATGCCTGCCAGAATATCCAAGTCTGAATAGCCATAGTTTATCAGTCAGTCGTTATTTCAATAAAAATGGTGTTCCATGAAAACAGTGACTTCAGCTCACAACTCAATCTGACAAGTGTTTTTCCTTGGGACAATCACTGTACTTTAGTATGCAACAGAAGTGCTTTATCTGTACTTCCTGTTCTGTTACATAGAATATTAGAAAGCCATGTATTTAGGCATGGAGATTTTAATAACTTTTACTGCTTTATCGAGGACATTCTTACGTGTATGATGATGAAAAAATACAATGACACAGTACAGTTTGGTGCCACTCCTTTTGATGAGCTTTAGGGCACCAGCAGTTTTACACATCTTTGCTTTTTTTCCCCCTTCCACCTTTCCTTTTGCATTAACAGTGCAAATGTCAACACAGTAAAAAAAAAAAAGGCAAGCAACATCTTTTTTTAAAAAAAAATCATTTATATTTAGAGAGAGAATGAGTGCAAGTGCACAGGGCGGGGGGGTGGCGCGGTGGCAGGGGCAGAGGGAGAGAGGATCTTGAACATACTTCCCGCTGAGTGCAGAGGCCGATGTGGGGCTCAATCTCACAACCCTGAGATTATGACCTGAGCTGAAATAAAGAGTCGGACACTTAACTGACTGAGCCACCCAGGCGCCCCAAAAGGCAAACAACATCTTAATACAATTATGAAGATAGTTTTGAATCTCAAGGACCCCCTGAAAGGGTCTTGGGAACCCCCAGGAAACTATGGACCACGTTCTGAGAACATCTGAACGTCTTCTCTAGGGCATATGCCTGAGAGTGGTGTCGTAAACTGTGTATTTGTAATCTTAGTAGGTACTGCCCAGTGCCCTTCCAACACGGCTGTACTAGTTTATGTTCTCCCCAGCAGGTTGTAAGGTCTCATTTCTCCTTACTCTTCCCAACACTGAATGTTATCAAACTTTAAATTTTGCAAATATGATAGGTAGAAAATAGAATCTCATTGTTTCATTTTTAGTACTCTGATGAATAGAGAAGTTGAGCATCCATTCATATGTTTACTGGCCATTTGTGTTTTTTCTGTGATATGCTTGCTCATATCCTTTACCTGTTTTTCTCTTAGCCTTGGTGGTCTCTTAGCCAGGATAATTAAGGGAAAATATTTGTCTTTTGGGGACGCCTGGGTGGCTCAGTCAGTTAAGCATCTGCCTTTGGCTCGGGTCATGATCCCAGGGTCCTGGGATCAAGCCCCCGCATCAGGCTCCCACTCAGCAGGGGAGTCTGCTTCTCCCTCTCCCTCTGCCCCTGCTCATGTGCTCTCTCTCTCTCACTTCCCCTCTCAAATAAATAAATCTTCAAAAAAGAAAAAATTAGTCTTCTGTTTTACATATTGCACATATTTTCTCCCAGTCTATCTCTTGCCTTTTAATTTTGTTTATGATATCTTATTGAATAGAAGTTTTAAGTTTTGAGGTCAGATTAATCAGTCTTTTTTTTGGCTTTTGATTTTTGTATTTTATTTAATAAGGTCTTCCACATACCAAGGTCATGAGCATCCTTCTCTAATACTTGTATAGCAGTTTCTGTGTGTTTGCTTACATTTGCAATGCAGCTAGAATTTATTTTCATGGATGATGTGAGTGATCTATATTTTTTTGTTCTTTGTTTTCAAAGGACTGTCTGTCTTGGAACACAGCAGAGAATAGAGAGACCTTAGGATAGTGAATCTCTGGGACTTCTCAATTGAAGCCTTGTCCATGATGTTTTCAGACCTTAGTAGTTGTCTGCATTCAATGGGACACACCTGATGAGGAGCGCATTTCCCATAAAGAAGGATCCCAATCAGAGCCCAGCATCCACACACCCAGCTCTCATCCACCAATCAGTAAGAATTTCCTAGATAACACTGGCTTTTTCTTGGCCTCCGCCCCCATGTGGGGAAGAGGAGGCCTGTAGGTGAGCTTAATACCTTCCTAGAGAAATCCTCCACTGAATTGATCAAGGAGAAGGGAAGAAGCAGATCGAATTATCTTCTGGAGGGTGGGAGTGGGAGAATCACCTAGCCCATCTAGACAAACAGCCCTTAAGGCAAAAGAGCAGAAAAATCAATAGGTGGTCTCTCTAGACTTAACTCTGGTGAAGAGCTTCCTTGAGCCCTCTCTTGTTATGATGGGGGAGTCCTGAGAGTTTTCTTGGGGCCAACCATATTTTCCTTAAGATTTAGTTTGTTTCTCCTTTTAAAGTGCGTATATTAGTTTTCTGTTGCTGCTGTAGTAACAAATTACCACAAATTTAGTGGCTTAAAACAACACAGATAAGGGGCGCCTGGGTGGCTCAGTCGTTAAGCGTCAGCCTTCGGCTCAGGTCATGATCCCAGGGTCCTGGGATTGAGCCCCACATTGGGCTCCCTGCTCGGCGGGAAGCCTACTTCTTCCTCTCCCACTCCCCTTGCTTGTGTTCCCTCTCTCGCTGTCTCTCTCTGCCAAATAAATAAAATCTTTAAAAAAACCCCACAGATATATTTATGTTACAGCTCTGGCGGTCAGAAGCCCAAAATAGGCCTTATGGACTAAAATCAACATGTTGGCAGGGCCATGTTCCTTCTGGAGGCTCTAGGGGAGAATATTCCTTGTCTTTTCCTGCTTCTAAGGGCTGCCTGCGTTCCTTAGCTCACGGTCCCCTTCCACCTTAAACCCAGCAATCTCTGCTCCAATCTACTTCTGTCTTCACTTGTCCTCTGACTCTCCTGCCTCCCTCTTAA